GACGGCGAGGGTGGGTGGCCCCCCCCCTCCCAGTCCTCTCCTGGCCATGCCTACCTCTGCTCTGCTGCCCCATCACCCTTCTGGTCCCTTCCTCTTTCTTTTCTTTTCTTTCTTTTTTTTTTTTTTTTAAGAGGTTTTTGCTATAGTGCATGTGCGCTCGCCAGACAGACAGAGAGAGACAAAAAGTGAGAAATCACCCCCTGGGGGGATGGCCACGCCACAATCCCTTCTCCTCCGTTCTCCTCTCAGGATCTTGGGCACGCATGCATACGCGCCCGGCGTGAATTTTAAGCTGCGGGTCTGAGATGTGAACCACGGTCGACTACATGGGAGTCCAGCGACATAGCCATTACGCTAACTGCTGGTCCCCTCTCTCTCCTTTTCCTTCTTTCCTTCCCACCAGGAAGCTCTGTGAGTTGGCGGTGAGGTCTGCTGTTGCGATTTTCCCCTCTAAATGCTCTCCAGTCTGGTCCCAACTTCCCATTCCCACTGCCGCTGCCTTGGTTCTGGTGTTCGTTATCCATCCTCCCAGCCACAGCAGCCCCCAGCTGGTCACCTTTCTGCCTCCAGGCCCTTTCTCCTCTAGTGGATCTTCCATCTTGATGTCAGGGCTCTCTTTCAAAATCGCCCATGCTGCACCTCTTCGAAGTCTTCACGTAGTCCTTACTGCTTGCCTGAAGGATCAAACGCGCACTCTTGCGGCTGGACACTGGTGCAGCAGTAGAACGCGGTGCTCTGAGGCTGGTCCGCATGGCGGGTTCTGGGTCTATGTCTGAAGGCCTCCCTGAACACTTCAGGCATGCGCGTGCCCATGATCCGGGCCTTACTAAAGCTGGGTGGATTGCAGCATCAAGGCCCTGTTTGGGGTCGAGGGAGGTGCTGTCTCTCTGTCTCCCTATCTCCCTGTCTCTCTTGCTCATGGAAGAAACCTAAAAAACATTTTGTAAATCTGAAACTCCTCAGCTGACCCTACCCACTCTGCCTATCTTATTTCTTGCCTTGTCACCTCTCACTGAACCTCAGTGACTCTGAACTTCTAGTGTTCTGATACCAAAGGCACCCTCACGCCTATGCCCCTTCCAGAGCAAATCTTCCCTCCTGGCACCTTCTGCCCTCTTTTCTCTTCCTAGGAAAATTCTCAGCCTTCACGCCCCCATTTAAGTGTCACCTCCTCTGTGAAGGCTTTCCTGATTGACCTGAGCAAGTCTGCCACCTCCTCTGAGTGTTCATAGCACGCTTCTCACCTCCATAGTTCAACCTGCATCGCTTGGTGGTGTGCGTTTTGAGCATGTGTCTGCTGATCTCATTGGAGGCAAAACTCATCTTTCCCCCTTTCCTTCCCCTTCCCTTCTCGCAGGTGCTTACTTAGCGCCCAGAGCATAGCACATGCCCAACAACTTCCGGTTGTAGAACCAAAGGTTGCTTCCAAAAGGCAACCTGCTCCACGGGAATTCAGTCTTCAGTGGAGCCAGAGCTGGAAGCGCGGAGCCCTGGGAGGCCTGTCCTCCCCAGTCATTTAAGTGTAGGTTGATGGAGAGGAGAGTTGGTCACAAGATCCCATACTTTGCCTGTCAACTCTCTCCCTCCTTTGCTTTCCTTGCAGAAAGTCCAGGTTGTGGTCACCGTGCTGGACTATGACAAACTGGGCAAGAACGAAGCCATTGGCAAGATCTTCGTGGGCAGCAACGCCACGGGCACAGAGCTGCGGCACTGGTCTGACATGCTGGCCAACCCCCGGAGGCCCATCGCCCAGTGGCACTCGCTGAAGCCCGAGGAAGAGGTGGATGCACTTTTGGGCAAGAACAAGTAGGCAGCCGCGGCTGGGACCCCGCGCCCTTCACGGACACTGACAAGATCCAGAGCTATCAATACCTCAGTTATGCGACCTTAGAGGTTTTTCATTTGTTTGTGGTTGTGTCCTTGTTTTTCCTTCCTTTTTCTCTTTTTAAAGACCAACTTCCCTTTGGCGGCCGTGTGAGGAGAGTCCCCTAAGAGGTGAAAGAAAAGCCTGGCTCTGTTCACTGTCCTAGGAGCTGCCCTTGCTGCATGCCCTGTCACGGCCCCTCACTCTCAGAGCTTCGCTTACGCCTCACCCCACGTGAGGCCCTCTGCTGGCAGAAAGTTGCAGCACTTCCTGTTTTTTGAACGTTCTGGACCAACAAAATGGCAGCACATCCTGTTTCCTGACAGAGAAGGCATCACAGTGACCAATGATCCATGCGTGTGTGTGTGTGTGTGTGTGTGCGTGCGTGTGTGTGTGTGTGTGTGTTTGAGTATCTCTCTTCTTGCCTGGAATGAGCCATAGTGAAGTCGTATGGGAAGAGACGGCTCCGCAGAACTCTGAAATGAAGAAAGACCACCATCCAAGTGGGATCTTCTTTCAGCCTGTGGAGAAGGATTGGAATCTTAGTCAGATACCAGAAACTCCTATACTCCTACTGGGAGGCAGCAAGATGTGGAGACAGGATGTGCCCAGAACTAGGACCAAACTCCTGATGCCAACATAGACTTCCTCCTGACAGTCATGGTTGCCCAGAGGTGTGGTTTTGGGATGTTCCTGATGAACTGTTCACTAGATTGGTCAGACTCCGACAGAGACCATCAGTCCTGGGACCTCACTGTTGTTGACAACTGTCAAACTATGAAGAAACAGAAGTCCCATTTCTCAGAAAGATCAAAATTACACTCCTGGATCTTCCCTGTGTCCAGTGAGAAACACAGATCCTTTTCCCTTTCCAGAATATAAGTCATGCTGTTTATTTGCATTGATTCCCCACCATGCTTTTGCTTTGGTTTTGCTTTTCATTTAAGTGGAGCAACACAGTCTGAAGACACGTTATCGGGACAGAGCCAGAGAGTATTCAAAGGAAGGTTTCAATGGTTCTTAGCTCCCCTGAAGTTCAGGTAAGAAGGATGGTATGAGGGAGGATGGTGGACAGATGGCAGAGATGTCCTGGGGTGAAATAGATGGGAGCACTGGGACTCCCCGCACTCTCACTCTTTGCTCACTAGGCCCTCTGCCCTCCAAGTTGGAGGGCTTATGGGTAGCTGGATTGGCCTAGGGGGACCTGTGGGAGGCCCCATTCTACCATTCATTAGGGAGGAGTCTCTAATGATTGCCAAGGAGCAAAGGGCATTCATCCCAAACGGGCAGTGGAGGAGACATGCCAGGATTCCTACCCCATGCTCAGTTGTCCCATTCCCCTTTCACCTTTTGTCCCCAACATTGATAAGAAGCCATATATATGTTAGTCGAGTTTGCCCTGAATCCTCTTCCAAACCATCAACCTGGGCAAGAGAGTCAGCCCCACTGTGGGTCAGAGGCCAGCCTCTCTGCCTCCCTTCTTTTGGTCTCTCTCTTCCATTCATGAAACCCTCAGGCCTTGCCATTTCTTCAGCACAGAAAACTCAGTGTCCCCAGAAAGCCTGAGGAACTCTCCCTCTCCCAGCAAAAATGGCGGTACTTCCTATCCTGTCCCGTCTGGGCCATTTCGGCTTCTTGTAGGCACTTGAGACAGATGAAGGGTATTGGACAGACTCAGGCTTTGAGAACTCAGTGTGAAGAAGATGCAGAGTATCTTTTTATTATTTTTTTTTTTAAGAAAGAGAATGGGGGTTTTTAGGTTTTGCTTTGCTTTTTTTTTTGGTTGGAGTTAGGGATGAGAGGATGAACGCCTCTACCAGGAACAGGCCGAGAAGCAGGCCTCATTCTGCCCGTCCCCCAGAGTGCCTGCTCCTTCTTGCTCGTAGTCCTTGGTATGTGGGAAGTTATATATTTTACATGATGTGTGTGTGTGCATGTGTGTGTGGACTTAACGACAGGAGGTAGGACTCTGACAGGGATGAAGAGCTGTGGTCCCTGGGCCCGGAGCTGTGATCACAGCAGAGCTGGAGGGCAGTAGGGTGCCTTTGGAATTTGAGTGGCCACAGAGCAGGACATCCTGAGGTCATTAGTCACTGGACTCTTCTCCCATCCCCAGAGCCATGGGACTTCGGTGCTTTCTCAGGGTCTCTCCCCACATTCATTCTCCTCGCCACAGCCCCACAGCTCATGGGGGCTCCCTCCCAGTCTCACCCCTGCCTTTGTTCTTGGCCCTTTCCCAGTCCAGCTTCTACCACCAGGGATCCTTCCTGCTCGTGAACTTCATTGGCCCTTCCGGAGCCCGAGGTTTGTTACTCCTAAGGGAAGGGAAGAGAAGGGAAGGGAAGGGGACAGTAGGCACCTCGGTGGCTGGGGACGGGCTGGGTTTTATTACCGAGCACACCTAGTGAGCAGTTTGGGAGAGGCAGGTGCTGCAAGACTTCCAGCCTTGGCCTCAGTGTGGAGCCAGAGTGGATGTGGGGGACAGTTCCTTCCCCAGGTCCCAGCTGGTGGTAACCCACCCTAGCAGATGGCATCTGTCTGGTTCATGGGCCAGGCGGGAACACACTTATGCTTGTGGTTTTCTAAGCCCACGGGCTGACGTAACCCAAACCGCAGAGCATTATCCTACAGCTTCTCTGCTGGGCATGTTCCTGAGGGCGTTAGGGTGCCGGGGAGGTACTGAGCAGGGATGGCTAGAGTGTCTGCTAATTGGGGATTCTGGGTACCTCTGGGCTGTGAGTTTTCTTCCCAGTCTGTTCAAGAGGGAAGTAGCATAGAGGTGATTTTACTGAGGGGTTGAGACCATGGAAACCCAAACCCAGCTCCCACAGAAATAGGGGATGAGGCCTGAAAGCTCTGCTTTATCCTTTTGCCCCGAAACATCATCCCAGAAGGGAGCTGACGCTGCAGGAGCTGGAGGCAGGTTGGACTTTGGAAACAGAGGTGGAGGCCTGGAGGAGGCTGGGTCAAGCCCCCTGGGGCAGCTCCAGCAGCGAGCAAGTGCTTGGCTTGAATGAGAAGTGACTTCTCCAGAGTTCCGGCTGGAGGGTGGGACAGCGGGGATTCGGCTCCCGTTGGGATCCTGATCTTTTTCCTGCCCGGCACTCAGCATGCCTTGTGTCTGCAGAATCAGTGTGGGATGATTTTGCTGGCTCGCGGCTTCACCAGGAAAGAGGGGTCTCTGCAGCCCTATGGGCACAGCCAGCTCTCTTGCAAACGGTGTGGTGGGGTGAGGGTGGGGTGGAGATAGCAGAGAGGTTGAGAAACCTCTGCTGGGGCCAGGGAGTGAGATCCATTTCTCTAATGTCCTGGGCTAGTTTGTGAGGCATGGCCTCCCTCATGTCATCTGCACTGCCCTCCCTTCTCTCCCTCTCCTCTGCCACCTCAGGCTGGTTGAGACCTTTTCTTGGAGCCCTGCGTGGTGGCAGGCAGGGAGGAGTCCCGAGTACTGATTCTGGTGGCCCAGGGCCCCATGAGATGGTTGCCGGATTTGACAAATAAAAATACAGGATGCCCCGTTAAAATGGAATTTCAGATAAATAGGACTTTTCCTTTCTTTTTTTCTTTCCTTATTTTTTTGAGTGAGAGGGAGCGGGAGAGGGAGAGAGAAGTACTTTTGACATGGTCCTGCATGATCTCGATCCTCTCTCCCCAGCTTCCAAGTTAGCTAGGGTCACAGGTGAGTACCGCTGCCCGCTGTGTCGGGCTAGGTCCTGCATGTGAACCTGGGCCTCCATGCGGCTCGAGCACTGAGCAGTGCCGACACCCATGCCACCACTACCTGCCTGTTAGTATGGCCGGCAATATTTGGGACACACCGTCCTACCACGTGAGTCGTTGCTTATCTGAAATTCAGACTTAACCAGGCATCCGGTGTCCGGTGTTGTGTCTGGCAGCTCCTACCCTGTGACCACCTCCACCCGCCCCCCCAGCCCCAGGAGGCCAGAGACTGGTCCCCAAAGATTGACTTAGCCTGTTGTTTTTCGAAATGCAATATTGAGAAGGGGACACTGTGACCTGAAGACACATGAATACACTTTATTTTTTAAGCGACAACAAAACAAGAACCTTCTGAAGCCATGTGCGCCTCATCTGACCCCTCCGTGTGTTTAGTTCTATATCAAAGAAGATAGTTATCTACCAACATCCGGACAGAACCTGTTCCGTCAAGATGCATGTCTCTATCTTTCTGTAAATAGCCGCATGGCAACGCTGAGAGCCCCCCGGTCTTCCACCCCCACCTACTTCACAGATGGATTGAGGCTGCTCCTTCAATTTTATGTCATGTACAGTCTTTGTCCTCCCCACCCCACCCCATCCGGAACCCTCCGATGGGGGCCATGGCCGATGGGAGCTGGTTTCCAACTCTGGTGCCAGCCCAGCCCTGGAGGACACTGTCGCCCCGAAGGCCCGCCTGCTGCACATCCGTCTGCAGGGCCAACCCTCGGGCGCGGCGTGCTGTGTCCAGCCTGTCTGGTGTCCCGGTAGCGTCCGTGTCCTGTGTGTGTGTGTGGTGTGCCCCTTCCTCCCACTGTCTGAATTAACTGAAAAGCCATAAAGGGGGCCTCCTCCAGGAGCCCCCGTGTCCCTCTGATTGGCTCCCCATGACCACTTGTGAAGGGCTCACCTTTCACCCCTGTTCCCTCAGCCCCGTGTCATGAGGACAGATGGCATGCAGGCTCCTGGTGGGGCCTCTGGGGCTGTCCTGGCCGGCCCTGCCCACACTGGCTTCCATAGCCTGGGGCAACAGTTCACCTCCACGGCCACCTACCTGACTGTGGACAGAGCAGGGGGCGGGGGGACTCCATAGTTCCGGGTGCCTTCCTGGGGCCCTGTGGGGGCAGGCAGGGTTTTCAGCAGCAGCCAACTGGTGGCTCAGTCTGTGGCTGGGCCCCCCCTTGTCACCTGGGCCCCTCTTGCCCAGCACTGCGGTGCCAGGGCCAGGACAGCGATGGAGGGTGTCTCGGGGAAAACTGGGGAACTTCAGAAATTAGCCTAGGTAATTAAATAAGCTCAGCTCCCCCGAAGCTTCCTCTTGTAGCCTGATAGCAGCCTGAGAACAGGGCGGCCTGAAGGCTGTCAGGGCTCCTCAGAGTGGTGGGGCAGGGCGAGGGGGGCTCAGGAGACACCCAGGTGGGCGGGTGTGCACTGGGCTCCCTGCCCCTGACAGCTACTCCCACAGCAGCCAGCCGGGTGTGCCAAGTAGCAGAGGGGTGGGTAGAGGGGACTGGGGCTTCCAAGGCCTCTCTCAAATGTGAACCAAGAGGGACGGGTGGCCCCAGTCTGCTGCCCTGGGCCCCGTGGCCCTAACACGGGCAGTAATGCATGGAAATAGCCCCGAAGGCCTCAGGCCTGGCAACCGAGAAGCTCGAGGAGGAGAAAGGGAAAGAACCGAGAACCAGGATCCACCTTCTACCGGCCGGGACCTCTGGCAGACGTTCCTGGGCAGGAGAGGGGCGAGGCTGTCGCAGAGCAGCAGGTGGAGTGAGGTGGCAGCAGCGTGCATGGGGCATTGGGAGTTTCTCCAGCCAGCCTTAGCGATCGGAATCTTGGGGGGTGGGGTCTTTGGAGAAGCCAGACCCTTCTGCCCTGACTCCTGCCCATCTAAGGACTTAACCTGCTGTTTCTGGATAACCCTGGACCAAGAGCTTCCAAACGAGGGCTAGGTCAGGGTCTAGCTCAGCCCAGGTGGTCCTGGAGTGCGCCAGCCCCACCAGGAGCCTTGCCTTGGTCTTCGTGGGAAGGACACGCACACAGCCCTGCCCGCCCCTCCTCTGCTTGGCAATGCTCTCCACCCCCTCGTGTGGACTCTGTCGTTTTGTCTGATCTCTTGTCCAACTGTTATTTTGTAACGAGCTGCGTCTCCTTATTAAAGAAATGAGCTGAAAGAAATCTGGGGCGGGGGTGTCTTGCAGTCCTTGCTGGGTGTGGTGGGGGTGGCAGGCCCTGCCCTTGAGGGCAGCATGGTGGGTACTGAGGTGGGTCTGGGGTGCTGGCCTCAAGATCAGCATCTCCCTCCAAGAGAGCAAAGGGGCCAGGCCCATTCTCTCCCTGCAGGGAGGGAAGACCAGACTGGGAATGTGGGGGTGGAGGAAAGGGTGGCTGGGGACTGGCCTCTGCAGGTTGGGCTGGCCACAGCCTTGGGCTCCCTTCCAGCGGCTGGGCTTAGGGAACAGTCCGCACCTGAGTCCAGTGGAGAGGAGTCGGGTCCTGGCGTGTGGGATCTTGAAAATGAGAATTTCCATGAAGTCAGCTGCCCGTTGCAGGGAACCTGGGTGTCTTTACCTCTGAAGTCAGAAGTTCCAGGGAAGGGCAGGGCCTCAGGACTTTTAGAAAGGGAGAGTGGCAGGGGACCAGCAGGTGGTGTGGTGGTGAAGGCACTGGACAAACCCACATGGCTGACCACAGTTCAAGTCCCAGACCTGGTGGCTTGCTTTCTCGCGTTCTCTCTCTAGTCAAATCGAAATAAATGACTAAATAAATTATTAAATAAATAAATAGAGAGTGGCACAGCTCTGCCCAAGACCAGGAACGGGGCTGGGCGCCTCAGTTCCAATGCCTGTCTCCTCTCTGTGGAGACGGGACAGAGCTGCCATTCAGTGTTTACACCACTGGGTGTCACGCCACGTGGCACTTGTCCTCCGGGAACCAGCACTGCCTAGACTTGTGCTTGCCTAGTGAGCTGGGACGTGGAGGGGCAGTGAAGGCCAGGCAGGGAGGGGCCAGCCTGAGCAAGTTGGCAAGGGCCTGGGTCCTTAATGTCCCCGAGGCAGGGTGGCTGGGTGCCCTGGGTGAGGAGGCGCCTGGGCCTCTCAGCGCAGGGCTGGGGCTTCTCACTGCATGGTCCCTGGTTGACCACGAGAGCGCCTCCTCCTGTCGCAGGACAGGACATGACCGCTGGGCGATACCGTCTCTGCAGACTTCCCTGTGTCCAGTGGGGGACACAGAAAGAAAAATGACATTGTAGTCTCAGAGCCCCCCTTGCATGAGACATGCTCTTTGCCTCTGTTTTGGGCTCCAGGACAGGTCTGAACTCTTCAACCATGACATCATGTGTTTGTTCTGCTGCTGCTTGGGCTCCCAACAGCTGGGCGACAGCAGGGGAAAGAATCTTCCCTCCCCCGACCTCCCTCCAAGGCAGTGGCCAGGGATTTCTGCTTGGCAAGGAACGGCTGAGCAACGCCAGAGGCGGGGCTGGCCGGATGGAGGGACCAGGCCCCCACCTGAGCGGCCTGAGCTCAAGCCTGGCCACCCCTCTGCGACCCCCACCAGCAGGCCTGAACAGCTCCTCTCTGGCACGCCCCCGTTTTGTCTCGAGTTAATCCTGGCTAACCCCCAAGTGAGCTCCCTTTGTAGTTAGGACCACAGAGTGGTTTCGGATCTTCTGCATCAAACAATGACCTAATGGAGACTGGCCCGTAAACAGCAGAAAGCTTAGGGTGATGCCAGACTCCCGTGAGCCCAAGAAAGGCATGTCTCCAGGGCCAGCCGGTGGTGTGATTTAGGTGGCTGGATCCCACATGGCCGACTGCACAGTTCAAGCCCCAGACCCAGCAGCTTGAAAAACACCAAGTTCGTGTGTGCAGGCCCAAAGTCCCGAGAGGAGAAGCGAGAGCAGACTGCAGCGTGGCCATTCGCCTTGGGGACCTCTTTCACAAGTGCATCTGTCCTTAGCTCAGAAAAACTAGCCCTCACCCCCACAAACCAAAAAAACCCCACATCTCTGAACTGCAACAAGTAGCTGTACAAGAGTGTGCTCGCATCCGTGCAGCCGGCTAAGACACCCTGGTCATTTAGCCCTGCTCTGTCCAAGAGCCACGCTTGAGCCACGCTCTCGAAACGTAGAACCTTGATACCTTGACTTCTACTGGGCCTTTTCCGCCTCTGGTCCAGGCCTATCCTTGGCCTGACTCCACTCAGGAAATGCTGTGATGCCCCCAGAGACCCTGTGCACAGTGACAGCGACTCACTGTGGTCGTCTCGGGGAAGGACTGCAGAGGACAGGAGTTGGGGAGGCTGGCGGGTGGGGCCCCCACGATAGAGCTATTGCTGCGACACTGGAAGAGGTTGCCCTGATGTGAGATTCCCATTTGGGAATCCCATTCCTCCACTGCGGAGACACAGTCACAAAGTTAAAACACAATTTTATTTACTCATTTATAAATACCGTTGTGTTTACAGGCATCATATAGATGTGAATATTATTATCCTCAAACTTTCAAACACAGAATACTTAATACTATATAATAACAACCAGTAAAACAAAATCATTCATCTCAGGGTTGAAAGGCCACTCAAAATTGCATAAAAATACATTCAGTTCACAAAGCGAGTCCAGCTTCCCCTTCCCAAGCGCCCCCACCCACCCCAGGGGTATTTACAAGAGACTGAAGTTAATCCGTACACCGCGGCTGGAAACAGTTCCATCTGGTGCTTTACCTGTGCCGATGGTGGAGACGCCAGGTGCTTCTCCTAAGCCCTTTCTCTCCTGCTGATCAAGGGCAGGGCGGAGGCAAACGTGGAAACGAAGGAAGATCATAAAGTTTAAGCACAAATCTGAACCACTCTCCTGAAAACAGGCTGTGCCTTCTCTGAGCCGGAGACGTCCTCCTTCCCTCTTTAGGGACCTCGTGGCCCTACTTGGGAAGTCAGGTGGCTCTCTGGGAGCCAAGGGGTGCTGGTCAGAGAAGAGGTGCTCTGGACTGCTGCATTCTTCCAGAACCTCTCTACCCCTGCAGCCTCCCCCTCCCCCCCCCAAGCTTCTCCAGCGCAGGTCCATTCCAGGTTCCAGTACAGCAGGGAGTGAGCAGGCAAGGGCGTGGCCTTGCGGGCTCTGCAGGCTCATCCTGAGGCTAGTTTTGGGAGGACATTACAGGGCTCTTAAGAGGCTCCCCACAGTCAGTGTGCCTTTCCTGAGTCCCGTCTCCTGCAAGGCAGGAATGGCTGAGCTGCTGCTGCCAGATGCACCAACACACAGACCAGGTTTGTGTGGAGAAGACGCAGTTCGGTCTTGACAAACAGACCTCTCAGGACAAAGATGGAGTGAACCAGACGTGGCTACCCATGCTCCTTGCCCAGCTTTGGGGTCGTATAGGCCTAGAAGTCAGGCCTCATCTCTGAGGGGACATGAGCACAGCTGGGGTGCTTGGAAACTGGAAAAGGGGTATCAAGGTGGGGTGTTTGTTAGTGAATGAAATTCCTGCAGGAATCATGGCTGACTCATGGCAAACCTCTTCTCTACAGCACCATCAGCTCCAAGTGAGGAAAGCAAGGAGTAAAGAATGCAGAGGGAGATGGAAGGCAGAGGAAGGGTGGAGGGTGTGTTTATTTTGGAAGGACATCAGAACAGCCTGATGTCACCTTACGGGCCCACCCAACTGAAATTTTATCTGAAGCATTAGGGGAAAACTTGGAGAAGAAATCACAGGAAAATCTCACTCTGGCAGATTCACAGTCTAAAATGATAAGCAGATGAACTGGGGAACGACTCAGAAGTCCTTTGGGAGACTGGGCGGGAAGAGGAAAAGCAAAAGATATATATTAATAGAATAATGTTCTAGGATAAAATTGGTTTCTGAGTTCTCATTTCTAATCAAGATATGCCAGACCTCATTTTGAAAGCTTGAGGCGAGCAAACGTGTGTGAGTTTGCACACAGGCCAGAGCAAGAGCACTCCCCAAACTGTTAACCTTCTCGGGGAGGCAGGGCAGTCCTCAGTGGTGACGTCACTAGACAGGCCCACCTCTGACGTACAAGGAGGGGTTCCACACTGCGTTGTAAGCATCCTCAGGTTCAGTTTTGACCCTTGCACACAACTCCGGGAGAAGCAACTGCGGTTTTTTTTTTTTTTTTAATCCACGCAGCACTGGATGGCTGCCCAAGATGCTCTGTGTGTTTTTCCTCAGCCCTACGAGACCACCTCATTTTCGAGGAGCTGTGACAATGAGAGTTCCTGGGCTTCAACGAAGTTGATCTATTTTCCAACCTAATCAGAACACAAGGAATCGATAGCTGTCCCTGATAGGGTCTACTGCTCCCCGGCAGTGTCAATACTCATTAGGGGAGCTGATTAAAATCTCCGCTCAGCTGGAGGCTGAGGGACACAGTCCCTAGTGAGACAGAACTCGCTTCTCTGCCCAAGCTTTGCTTCCATGAAATCTCTTCCCCCAGCTTGTAGGCTTGCAGCCTCCATCCTGCTCCGTATTCCAAGCCCCTGACCTGCTTTCTTCCCACCACAGCACCCAGGCCACCTCCACTTCCACTCACAGCCAATCCTGCAGGAGTCTTGCGAGAGCCACGTGCTGTTCTACGCAATACGGCTGAGTGGACGCCGGCTTTGCGTACGCTTCCTGCTTTGGTAGTCTCCTCCGTGGACCTGCTTCAAAGGAAAGACCATCTTGAACAGCACCAGACCCTCCTATTTCTCATAGTTCAAAATCCAGTGGAGGAGCTCAGTGGAACTAAAGCTTGAGGTTTTTACTGGGGGTTCTCTTGCTGCTCTTGGGCAGAGTTCGAGACTGAACTAGCTGGTACAAAGCAGAAACACGAGTCTCCTGCTCAGACGTGAGAGTTGCTGTGGCTCAGACTTGAGAAAGCGAGGCCAGGTGGCTGGGGAAACCTACGAAGCAGCAGCTCGACTTCCTATTAAAACACTGTCCACAGGCTGCCTGCAACAAATTGCTCTCTACCCATTTCCCCAAGAGCTCCAATTTCCACTCCTGCGGGTTTTAATATTCTTACCAAGTCATTAAAAGGGAAAGCAATTGCGACACCACTCAATTACCCTTAGTATTAAATTCACTTTCCAGTAAGGGTGAGGAGTCAGCCTTCACATACTGATGTTAAACAGTTTGAATCTGGAAGAAGACAACAATTTTTGCTCTTGATTTCTGAAGATAGAAAAACTTTTGAAGCAGAAATTTGAAGTTTAAGAGATGTCCTGATCTTCTGAAGAATGAGCAGACCACAGCCAAAGGGATCTTAAGGATTATCTAGTCCAAAGAGCTTCATTTGCAGACAGGAAAGGCGCCTTGTTCAAGGTCACACGGTTAAGCAGAGGCTGCGCAGGGCCGGGCATGCCAATGTTCTGGCCTGGGGTCTGTCCTCCCATGCTGCCTTATTCTGCTCTCACAGCTGCACTGCTTATTGGGCCAGAGGAACTCACATCCTTTGAGAGGTCAGAACCTGCCTTGAAAACCAGCCCTGGTGACCAAGCTCTGTAGTGGTAACTGAGCCCAGATCTGGCCACCTCTGACTGGCAGCTGTGTGTTTAGACCCAGGGCAGTGCCAGGGCGAGATGGTGCCTGAGGACACCAGGCTCCTGCGGTTGCCTCACTGCTGAGCTCCAGTGTGCCCAGGGGCTCCTCCGGTGGGGGAGAACTAGAAATCCTTTCTCCTGTTGGCTTAGATGCTCAGTCCTTTAGGCTTTCCCTCCTGAGGTGCAGGGCAGAGAACTGGTGACATTTTGCAGTGTTCCCTCGCCCACCTCCTAGCGAGCATGGACACTGTCTGGACCTTCTTCTGTAGTAAGGTGGGCCTAAAACATGGGGCCTTCTCTGCAGCAGCAGAGCCTGCAAAGGAGCCAGAAATCCAGAGACCAGAGACCTAACAACTTACATGGCTTTGAGTTCCTTCTTCTCTCATCTCTGGCTCAATTAAATGCCCCTGGTGAAGAACCAGTCCGTAGTTCACATGACACACACTTAATAGTCTATAGGCTATTAAGTGAGGTTTGAACCTCTTGCTTCCTGCGTGAGCTTATGCTGTGTGTGGGGCAAGGGGCTGTGTGCAGTGTTCCAGACAGGGATGTACAACCCTGCCGTGGCCTCAGAGAGCAGCCCCTGCATCTAGGGTTCTTTACACATGGGGTGGTGGGCAGAAACCAGGGGCAGCCCAGCAGAGAAGCAAACACATCCTGCAGCTGGACAGAAAAGACTGGGAGGTTTTAGGAACTATCAAATGATTCTTGCCCAGGAGAGAATTTAGTACACTGAGTAAACCCCAGGCATGTCTACCACTTAGATTCTTTAGAGGTAACACCCTGAGATTTGCATAAGCCCTACACTAGAGACTGGGATGGGGCTGGGGTCAGCACACCCTAGCGCTATTTGGAAAAGGATCAGCAGCCCTTTGAAGACAAACAGGCAAACCTTAGCCAGAGAATCTCTGGAATGGCCAAATCATGACTCCCAAAGGTGTGGCCTGGTTTTTGAAAAATATCAAATGAACAGAACAGAGGGTGTAAAGCCGTATCCAGAACATTCTCTTCCCCATTCTGATGTATTTAAAATAGACCCTAAAGGGCCAAGCCTGAGCCCCACACCGCTGGCCAGGCCTACTGCTGCTCAGGCAGACTGAGCTACCTGGGGAGCCCCAGAGCACTCAGGTGAGCAGGTGAGGTCTGGAGATCTGAGGCCACTGATGAGACCAACAGCAGGTAACTAGCCAGACAGCACTCGGCTGCTGGCTGCCGATGCCAGGCACAACAGCTGGCTCTTAAAAGGCTTACAGCCACCCCCCAGGGAGCTTCCCATCAGTACTGCTGTGACAAAGTGACACTTTATTCTCTGGAGAGAGACCAGAATTCAGAATTTATCTGTCTAAAAATATTAACTGCATAAGAGAAATTAACCTAGGATGGTGGACACTTTGATGAGATCTTGGCCATAGAATCTAATATTCCTGAGACTGAAAGCTTACAGGTTTCTGGCCACAGGGGAGAGGTACCTCTACCACAGAAGGGCCATGCGAAGCAGCAGGGGTGTAACATCCACCGAAGGTTTCAGAGTCTGCCTCCAATGCTCAAAAGGCACACACCGGTCTGAGGGAGCTGCAAGGCCTTTGCCTGGCCCACTGAATGGAAGGCTGTCAGGACGTTTTCTTACTAAGACCATCTTCTTTTCCTGAGAAGGAGGTGGGGGTCCCCTCTCCCTCAAAACTAAGACGTGCCAAGAGTCGATTAGTCAACACCTTGTGCTGACGTCCTCGCCCTAGAACGAAGGAAATGCTTAGAGCTGAAAGTATGAGACTGCTTACTCTAACTCGGCGTTCCCTGAGCGTTACACCTGCAGTGCTCCATGATCAAAGTTCTAAGAGGGTATTCACTTCCCTTGGAAAAGGGTGGAAATGAAAGCTGGAATTCTCTATACTGTCAAAACAGGATTCTGCTGGAGAAGACTTATCTCCTGTTCTGGAATTGAGATCTTAAATAACTTCTGGTTTAAAAAGTATGTAATGTTTCAGAGGCTCGCTGTCATTTTTGGGAAAGAAACAGACAGACAGATGTAGTGTATCTTAAGAGAATGGACCACTTTAAGCACGGAATGTTACCAGCAACCCTAAAGTGAGGAGGATTTAAATGACCTGCACACTTCAAATGATACAGCCAATGGACAGAGCTCCTGCAAACAGCAAATACTGTACTTATCAGTACTGCATCATCAGGGACCAACGGCTTAACTTTGCACTGAATTTATGGAGTATTCTGTCCAGGTCTGGGCATATTTTAAAAGGCTGCTTTTGTGTCAAGGAGAATAGCCAAGATGTGACTGGCATGAAGAGCATGTCACGTGAGGAAGAGCTGAAATGGCTCTTCAGAGCTGGTGCAGAGTCAGGGTGAGGGAGACCGCCAACAGCATGCATCTGATGGGCCGTCACGCTGCAGAGCCATGAGGGCAGACCTGCACCACGGGAGGATCCCCAAGCAGACTTCAGCTCATGTCAGGAAAAATTCTGGCTATTAGAGGGATCAATGCACAGCCACCAGAGGCCGCCTGATGACAGGGTAAAGCTGTGACAGCAGGGGTTCCTATGACGCAATGTGTAGAGCTGGACCAGATGACTGTGGGCCCTGCCATTCCAAAAGTCCATGACCTGCAATGGGTGGAAAGCACCTCATCCCTTCAAACCTCTATTACCAAGTCATTTCCCTGTTAGTTTCTAAGAAAGCAAACGTCTCTCTCTCAGTAAAAGCAACCACCGGAAACGATCACTGTCACCGCCACGCCCAGCACAGCGGCTATCTTGTCTCCTTTGCCCCACAGCGAGTGTCCTCGGACACTCCACTTTCTAGCTGCTCCCCCCATCTGCCTCCCAATGATCTGCCATTCCGACCCTGCCCACCTCTTGTAGTGATTTCATTTCTCATCTGGGACAGGTGACAGAGTGTAGAGAGGAAACCAACGTCACAGGAGGGCCAGCCCAGATGTTCTAGGAAAGCAAATCACTGTGTATGGCGAAGACAAGCAGGGGTGAGGACAGCGGGCTGGGCCCTGGGCCGTGCTCTGGCTCTGCAGGGAGCAGGCTAGTGGTGCCACCACAAGGCACCTGCGTGAACATTCTCTGTCTCCAGAGCAACGACTTTCTTAACAGCCAAAGACGACTGAGGCGAGGTGCTCTGTTCCAGCTTTTCTACCACCGGCTGAAGGCTGGGTGGGAGAAAGGATAAAAAGATAGAAAGGAAAGAAATGAAGCCATCTGAGCCTTGGAGGAAGGGCTAGGCATGAGGAAGGAACAGGGGCTAAACTAGTCAGGGCTGTTCCCAGCTTGTAGACAGTAAAAATACAGATAAGTCAGTTCCTGAGAGGCGAAGAACAGGGAGCCTCAATGCAGAGTCGCTGTCACCATGGACTGTGAGAGGAACACAGCTCCAGAGGCTGCCAGACCCTGCTGCTTCTCCTGCGCCCCAGACGGGATCCTGACGTGGCCACCACCAGACTCACCTCTATCAGAGGACACTGGGTTGGTGTAAAAGGCTGTGGAGTACTGGTTTGGGTAGAAGCCCGGCAGGTTTGGACCAAATCCAATGTGGACAAAATAGCTGAGCAGCAGGAAGTTGGGGGTCCACAGCTGAGCCTGGTGCAGTCCCCAAGGTCTTCTCCAGATGGCTTGAATAATCACAATCATGCTTGAATTAAACTGTCATAAAACTCGGGGTGAGGTGTAGGAGGGATGGGGCATCAGGAGTGCAGAGAAATGTACAGTGCAGAGGAGGTGACCGGAGAGGGCCTGAAAGAGGTGTCCTTCCACCAAACATTCACTTTTTTTAGGTGGAAGGCAATGGCTGGAAGGGGGGTGGGAAGCAGCAGGTGCCCCATCCCTCCTAAACCAGCAGCCTAGTCTATTTGGACAGTTTGCTGATGACTCTGATGAGGGCACCATTTTCATCTTTCAGCCTCTGGTTGTCGGATTTCAGCTCTGTTAACACCTGCAGAGTGACAGAGGGAAAAGTGTTACAGCCTGGCCCGACTGCCTCCTCTCCCTCCCTGCCCAGGCTGGGCTGGGCCACCCCATGAACAAGGCCTTCTGAGCGCATGGAATGAACTGTCACCACCCCTTCTCCCAGAGATGAGACTCCCTTGAATACTGCTCTTTCTCGCATGGGTAATATTAATCTCTGGGGAGACCACAGCCCCTCCATCTTTGAACTAGCAGAGCTGGCAGTAACTACTCATACTATGTCTCTGTATGCAGGCTTCACGTTCTGCACGGTATATCCTCTCATGATATCGAATCAGTAACTGCAACTGCTCCAGCCCTTGCACTCACCTCTCGTCTAGAGAAATTAGTGCTGACGTGGGTTGCTGAGGACATAGGGAAGGAATTCAGGAAGGCGGTGGTCAGCTAAGAGGGTTAAAGGAAGACACTGCTCCACACCCCATCACAAGGTAAAACACAAGCAGAGGGGCAGAAGGTGGCCTTCCTGCCACAAGCACAAGATGAGTGGAGAGTGCTCTAGGAGCCTTCAGGAAATGGAAGCCACCAAAATTCCCACTGGTTGTGACTGCACACGCATTCTGAACGGCTAAAACCCGAGGCACTTACAAATAAGTCGCAGGGCAGTGGGGCACAGTGAACCTAGGCATGGGTTTCATTCTCCCAGAGCTCCCTGCTGAGACTCACACCAAGGGGTACAAGAGGACTTCTCGGCAGTTTCAGGGGGAGGTGGTGTAATTTCAGGAATCAGATGCTTGTAGGGAGGAAGCAATTGGAGATTCAATTCTGTCAGTTCTGCCACCTTGGAAGACCCACTGTCACCCAACTTGTGAAACAAAGAGGACGTTGTAGCCTCAAGCCCCGGGCTGGCTATCAGACTCTGTTACGTGATCGGACACGGCGAGAGTGCTGGGTAACACGAATTCTCCCTGGGACAAGGCGTGTGTGGGCCCTGCTGGCAGCAAGGGGAAGCCTATTTTCACTATGAAGGCTACAGGATGACACCTGCATCTGGCCAACATGGATGTGCTTGGACGAGTCATTCACTTTCAGAGAATCCCTGTGGCAGGCAACGTCCCCTGGGAAGGGTGGCCTGGGCTGAGGAGTCATGAGGCCTGGCTCAGCCATGAAGCACTCAGGGATCTAGCTGTACCCTAAAGAATATAGTTTTTGCTTCCTGATCTCTCAGGGAAGATGCAGGTTATACAGACATGTATGTGTACGTGTACATGCATCACGTGTGCATCACAGACACAGAGAATTTACACTGAGGGCATGGGAAGGATGACTGAGTTTCTGTGATGTGGAAGGCAGTGTGCTGCAGGCTCTGTGTCCCATGAGTCTGTGACATAGATACGATTCTTATTTATCTTTTCCGTTTTTTTTTTTTTTTTAGAGAGAGACTTTTTTTGCTATAGGGCATGTGTGCTCGCTGGAAAGAGAGACAGAAAGCAAGAAATCACCCCCAGGAGGGGAATGGCTACACCGTAATCCCTTCTCCATTCTCTTGGGATTTGGGGCACATGTGCACACGCACCCAACATGAGTTTTAAGCCTCTGGGTCCGGGACTTGAACCTCAGTTGACCTTGTGGGAGTCCAGCGATGTAACTATTACGCCACTTACTGGTCCCAGTTATTATCCTTATTTCTACAAATGAGGAAATGAACAATTTCACGAGTCCAAGGTACCCAGCAGTTACACGGCAAAGCTCATGCTGAACCAGGTGTGTCCAGCTCCAAAGATCGTTCTTTCCTCACAGGTGGAGTGCGTGGAGACGACCCCAGAAACTGCCGTCGTCCAGGAACTAAAATCTGGCAAATGACTTGAGGGAGATCACTCCACTTCTTTGCGCTTCTGCTTTTCTGTCCATAAAAGACAATAATCCCTGTCCTAGTCCCTTGAAGGTGGGGACCCCCGAGCCTATCAGGAAGGGGAAGGCGGGGAAGTGTGCTGACATACACGGTGAGCTTTGTCATCTGAACCCTCTTTCTGCCACCACTGCGAAAGTTCCCCTGCACATGGGGTGGGGGACAGGCAAGAAATCTGACCTGCCAAAGGAGGCTTGAATTCAGAAAATAAACTTTCAGTCCTATGACCCTGCCTTCTCCTTCCTCCAACTCAGCACAGCAGTCCAGCTGCCCCTTCTCGAGCCTCTCTCCTGCCCCTGGCCTCCTACTGGGTCTTTGGGAAAGCCATGGTGCAATTTTACACAGAAAAACACTTTAAGGCTTTCCTGACGACCTAATAGAATTGAGTGCTGAGAAACTCATTTTAAAAAGATCTTTAGAAAAAGTCAGCCTGGGGTGACCTCATAACGTTTCACCTTCCCATCTGCTCTGTAATGGCCCATCCGGGGCCTTAGCCCAGGTGTGGCTGTGGGTGAGACTCATATTTCCATAATAGGATCCATAGGTGGGAAGGCGTTCTGCACAGTGATGGGTTACATTTTACATTCCACTGCTCAGCTCATCGAATCAGAACTGAGTGCTTTTTTTTTTTTAAATGTACAAACAACTCGTCGAGCTCAAGTGATTTATTTCCACACTAAGAACTCAATTCCTTGGCAAAAAAAACTGGGCAAGGCAATTTTGCAGCTGCAACGTGCTACAATTGACATCTTAAGGGAGTGTCAAGAAGTGGAATGTAGAAATCAAGGGAGAAAAAACCTCATAAACTTCACTCTCAAAAGAGAGAGGGAGAAGGACCAACAGTTAGTGTAATGGCTATGTCGCTGGACTCTCATGTAGTCGACTGTGGTTCGAGTCCCGGACCCGGTGGCTTGAACTCATGCTGGGCGCGTGTGCATGCGTGCCCAAGATCCCGAGAGGAGACTGGAGGAGAAGGGATTGCAGTGTGGCCATCCCCCCTGGGGGGTGATTTCTTGCTTTCTGTCTCTCTGTTTCTCTCTGTCTGGCGAGCGCACGCGCCCTATAGCAAAAACCTCTCAAAAAAAAAAAAAAAGAGGGGGGGTGGGAATGAACAGTGGTATCCGATCCTCACTTGCAGTTAAAGAACGATTACACAGGCACACGTGTCAAAGTGCCATGCACAGATGACGGGAAAGAAGCATTGCCATTTCGGCTTGGCCTCAGCTTAACTTCTGCACTTCCAACTTACCAGTTTCATGTTAGTGACACCTTGGATGAATTAAGTACACATTTTCTCAATAGTACTTCTCACTGCCTTTGATGGGGGACGTATAAGGGGAGGAGGATGTGGGGTTGCGAGGCTTCAGAAGCCTTGGGAGAGGCTGGCTGTCGGGCATGAGGCCTCAGGAGTCCTGCGGAGGTCCAACTACACAGGGAGTGGGAAAGGAGTCCCCTCTTCTGTTTTGTTGGTAAGTGGCTTGCACTACACGCTGAGGCAAGATGACTTCTGGGAAACAGCGGGGGAAAAAAAAAGGCAGGGCACAGAATCTCCTGATCGCACTGCCAGTTCAGCTTAGTTATCTCATCTTCCCTTTTGGCAGGGGCGGCAAGCTTCTTCTGTGAAGTGCCAGATAGTAAATTCCTAGGGCTTGCAGGCTCCGCGGTCTCTGCTGCAATGACTCTCCCTGCTGGTGCAGCACTAAAGCACCATGGACGCAGGGGTGATACGGAACCGACGAGCAGGGCTCAGGTTCCAGTGAAGCTTTATTTTTGGACACTGAAATCTGAATTCCATATAATTTTCATGTGTCATGCGATATTCTTCTGTCGGTCTCTTTTCTGACTGTGGCTCACAGCAGTATCAGCAGGTCAGTTTGCTGAGCCCTGATGCAGAGGGCCGTGTGCCATGCTGTGGCTTTCTTTATGGTGGCAAGGCCTTCAAGGGCTAAGCGGCTCCTGAAAGTTCACCTTCGACAGGGAAGTCCGAGTGCTGAGAATGCAGAATGCTGCCTTCTTCCCCCTTGCTGCAAGGCGGGGGCCCGTTGCAGGCG